GGGGGGGGGGGGGCAGAATATTCTGAGTAAGTGGGGGTTTTGAAGAAAAAACAGATGGAACGCAGCTGTTCCTGAGATTGGGGCTGGGGGAGTCCAAGCTGATACATCCACTTTTCTACAGAATGCAAGGCAGAGATTAGGCTCTGGGTGTGTGTGTGTGTGTGTGCATATGCATGCGTGCACACACACGCACATGCATGTATGTGGAATTCCAGCATAGTCAAGAGTCCCATTCCTGCAAATGTCAATAATAGACATAGCTCGGGGACTAACTGTTGGGTTCTTGGTGTTCTCTCTTGAAAGCAATTTCTCTTTATTTGTAAAGATAGGTTTTGCTCTGTGTGGAAAGTGGAATCACACACATTCCACGTGGATATCAAAGCACTTTTTACGGCTGTGCTTCACAATTTTTTTTTTCCTTTCCCTAGACAAGAGATTACTTTCTTGGCCAAGTAGATGTTCCTCTCTGTCAACTGCCAGCTTGTATTCATTCAGAACTTCTTCAAAACAATGTTTTTATATTCTTGATTAGAATACAGGTAGCCCTTGGGTTATGACGGAATTGGGACCCGGATTGCTGTCGCTAAGCGATGCAGTCATAAAGCGTGATGTCACATGACTGCATCGCTTAGCGATGGCAATCGAAGCAGTCCCGGTTGCCGTTGTAACCCCAAGACGTGCAGGTCATTAAGCAGGAAGAAGCAGGAGTCTCCGGTAAGAAGCATGGTGGTGCCGCAGGTGTGCAGGGGAGCCCCAGGGCAGAATGCACATGAATTGGGGAAGGAGGGTGCTGTGGTGTGGCATGAGCACAGGGAGGCCAAGGGAAGGAGAGCGCAGCACAGTGTGCAGGAAGTGAGGGAGACTTACCAGAGCGACTTGTGACCTTCCCTGCCAGCCTCCCCATTGACTTTACTTGTGGGAAGCCAGCAGAGAAGGTCACAAACAGTGATCACATGACCACAGGACACCGCAATCATAGTAAGTGCAAACTGGTTGCCAAGCACCCAAATCGCGATCACATGACCGTAGGGGCACTGCAACAGTTGAAATTTCAAGGACTGGTCGTAAGTACCACTCATTCAGCACCGACGCAACTTTGGACGGTCACTGAACAAGTGGAGGACTACCTGTACTCCGCTAATAATTTTTGCAAATATTTGTTCTGTTTGCTGGCAGGGGCTAGAAGAGAGAATGCATTTGATTAGGCACGGGAGTGAAGTTATATATATGGATTAAAGTGAATTTAGCTAATTTGCATATATTTTGTATTTTTAAAATTATTGTAACCTGCATAGAGTGTTTATGCAAATAGAAAGGCGGGTATATATTTAATAATATAATAATAATTGGGTTTTTTTAATCGCTTTGATTTTAAACTGCATTTGTGAACAGTTGCTCTGAGGTGCACATGTTTGAGAACTTAAAAAAACTTCCCTGGAAGAGTTGAGTTCCCTGAATTGTCTAGGTATCCTCTGGAAACAAAAGACAGAGGACAAAGAGGGATGCGGGGAGACATTACTGTGCTAGAGGAGCCTTGCCGAAAGTCACTGGCCACAGTGCTTTAATTTGGGTTCCTCTGGAGTCCGGCTGTTCCTGCCAACCTCCACCAGGTGGGGATGTAACAAATATCTGGATCTTAAAACATTTCCACGTTCTAAAAAAATGTCTGTAAAAATCTACCTGTTATTTCTGCGGGTTCCATTTTACTGAAATAATTGTAGTTATTCCCATGTGATTCCATAAAACAGTTGGCAGCTATTTACATCTCCTAACATTGCTGGCTTCCTGTTCCCAATGTCCTGTTATTTCTGTGCCTAATTTTATGACATCCTAACCACCCTCTTCCTCCCACCTTCCCCTGAGGAGGCTGCGACCGAAGTTTGACTTGATCACTTGATCGTAGCTGAAGGGCAGGACGGAGCTTGCCTCTTAGGCTAGTAGGCACCTTTGCTGTGGCCATTAAGCCACGATGCCGTGCTTATGTGAAATGCCTTTTGCAAAATGGTTTGCAAAACATTGTCTTGATTACATCATGCATCCTATGCCTTAAGTGATCGTTTCCCCTTCTGGACAGAGAATCCGACTACCGAGAGGCCATACACCTTGAAGGACTTCACCTTCATCCAAGAAAGGTAGTAACCGTGAGATCTAGAAAACCGCATTCTCTATCTTCATTCTGGTAATTGGCCTCTTGGCTCCTGAAGCCACTGTGGGCTCTAGCACAGGCATTTTGGGAAGAAAAGCACAAACGCTCAATCTCAGCTGCACTCACCTGAGCAGGAGACCCTGGGCAGGATTCGTGGGTAGCTTTTAAAATGAAACCTCCAGTGAAAATTGGGTTGGGAATGGTGACCCCAGTCTTATAAAATGTCATTTAGAGGGAAGTGGAAAGTTGTCAGCAAAGTCCAGCAAATTCACACTTAGCAGCAACATAGAAAACTTCTAAGAAAGAATATTGTGGAGAGGGTCACCTGTCTCCAGAATGCCTCGGGTTTACTCCAAAATAGTAGAAGTTCGTCTAAGAGGGCAGCAGCATGGTTAACGAGTCCTTTCAGAGGAGCTGCTGCTGAAAAGAAATCTTCTAGACAATGGGAACCTGGTCCTAAGGAGAAGCTCAGACATGGTCACTAAGATGCACAAAGGAAATGCTGGAAACAGTGGCTTGGCAAGGAGTGTGCAGCTGGAGAAAGGCATTCCTGCTGCTGGCCATCATTTATGTTTTATTTATTTATTTATATTTCAAATTTGTCACTGCCCATCTCACATCACACCTTGGAAATAAGATTAAAGAGATACAGAGAAGAGCAGCCCAAGTAATCAAAATGCTGGGGATTAGATAATGTTCTGGAACATTTTTGATTGGAAAAAAAAATCATATTTTTTCTCTCATGGGGGATGTGATAAAATTGCATAGAAGTAGGCATGAGATGGCAGAAGTAGAGAGGCAGACCTTTCCCCCCTCTTTTCTGCTGGAATCACTGAGGAGCATCTAGAGAAGCTGCGTTGGGGATGGAAGGAAACCCCTTTTCATGCAGCAACACAGAGTTAAACAATGGCACTGGTTGTGATGTGATGACTTTCACAATCTTGGATGGTTTTAGAAGGGGAGCAAGATGCTGTCAAGGATGCCCCTCCCGTGTCAGCTGTATCTTCTAGTACAGGCCCAGATGTTTCTCATTGGAGGCTGGGCATACAAAGAGGAAGATCCTTTTGCCCTTGGGTCCCACAGATATCTTTTTTTGGGGGGGGGGGTCCATTTTTTGTTGCAGCCGTAAGTCCAGAGTAAAGGGGCATCTCAGGTTAAAAATGACTTACATGCCTAAAAGCAGTGGGTGCAAAGAAGAAGGTACAGAGCAAGCCGAAGAGTTGGAGGTGGGTGTTCTGTGTAAAATGTGGTCCAGCCTCAGCCCGTTTAGAGCCCTTGGAATTCTGGATCTGGTCATAGGAAGGCCCTCCCTGAGAGCTGCCTTGCTCACGTACTCTTCTTGCCATGTGTTTCAAGCCCCTTCCCTGACCTGATGCCCTCCAGATGTGTACAGCCTCTGCCTTGTCAACTGGTCTGCAAGTTGAAGTTCCAGCACATCTGGAGGGCACCAGGTTGGGGAAGATGATCATCTTCTGAAGTCAGATCAGTATAATCCTTGGACATGACTTTTATATAGCTATGGAATTCCAAAAGAGTTTCATAAAGCACTTCTTTCCTTCCTTCCTTCTGTGTAATAATTGAATAGAGGAGAAACAATTCCTCTCTCTTGCATTTGCTTATTTGGAGCCTTCAGACTGAATGAAACCCTGCATACTTCATGACATTAGGAATTTATTTGACTCCCCTCATTATATGACGAGTTATTGCAGATATCAGATCATAGTACTAAATAACTGCATCCATTATCAATAATTCAAAATACAATTTGATACTAAATTAAGTAATTGCTCTTACCACATATAGCCTTCTTCTTTACAAATCAGACTGAATTAAGATTTCTCAGGCCCCAAGGCTATGTCCAAACGTTTAGACTCCTCTCTTCTCTTTCCTTTCATAGGAAGGATCTAAAATAGGTTGCCCTTGTTTGTACAAGGTTTAAACGCCATGTGTGAGAGTTCCATGACAGCAGCAAGGAAACATCAGCTGCCTTTCTGGCATTGCCTGCTGGAGTGTTAGGTGGTGTGCATTGTTGGTGTTAGAGAACCATGACAGTGGCATCTTTTTGTTATTTGCAGCCTGGAAGGATTATCTTGGACCAGCCAGATGCAACCTGCCAACTGCAGGAGCAAGAGTCTTCTCTGTCTCAAGGCTGGGAAGAAAGACAGGATGTCCTGGGCAGGACCTACTGTGTCCACCATGAAGTCAGAAGGTCCCAGTGGAAAAGGGCAACCCCACAGTAGGTCATTCTGTATTTTTATTTCAGTTGGTCTGCTGTAGTTTTACTTTTTGGGGTTGGTTTAACAGATTAGCTTTCTGTCTCTTGAGGTTTCCAGCTGCAGTTCTGAGTCGTAGAATTATAAAGCAGGAAGGGCCAAGTCCAACCCTCGCTCATCTGCAGAGTGGGAAGGATTCCTTCCAACTCCTCATCCAAATCGTGATTTGGAAATGCGGAGTCCTCTGTCAACAGGCCCAGAGCTCTGGGAGTTGTAGTGCTCAAACATCTAGAGGGTACAAGGTAGGGAAAGTGGCTGTAGCCGCATAGGTCTGTTTCAGACCCTTTCTAACTGCTTTTTTAAAAGGAAGCACTGTTTGTGACAGAGAGAAGATGCCATTTGTAGAACTGATCCCTTTAGGTCAGTTGTCCTTCTCAGGTCAGTTGTCCATGGATCACTACTTTCAAGCATTCATCTTCCTTATAGAGGTCAGATTGATAGGTTCTGTGCCAAGGCCAAACTTGCTAGTTCCGCTTCCTCAAAAACGTGACACCCCAAGATTTTATCCAGTTGCCATAGGATTTTTTTTTTAACAGAGATTGTGAACCAGATGTTGAAGGAGGCTGTGTTCACCTGGAGGTTCAGCATGCTTCGGCCCATCAACATGAAATAATGGAGGACGCTGAGAGTTTTGACAGCAGAGACTCTCCTGAGGTGAGAATCACACATCATGGAGCTAGTTGCTGCATCAAAGGCGCTCAGCCCTGGCATCCTCATGCGGCTTTCCCGTTTCTGTGCAAAGGGTTGGGAGATTATCGCAGAAGATGAAGTGACCATGCATAGCATGCTGTGCAGCAGGGCGGCCCCGTAGAAACCTGTTCTGCAGCAGAGCTGACTTTCTCTGGAAACCCAGTTCCTGGTCAGCACCTTCATCCGCTGTAAGAATGACCATTGTCACACTAGGGCCTATGATGTGCTTCTGATCCCCCACCTACGCACACAAAGTCTCTCAGCTGCAGTCCTGATCAAAAGTAGTTGCTCTGCCCTTGGAGCTGAACCCTAGATGCTGAGGGCAGCAATGAAGTGGAATTCTGAGTCCGGGAGCACTTCAGACCCAGAGCTCCCCCAGTAACAAAGCTAAGAGGAGATCCCACCCAAGGCTGAGCCACACAGCGTACCTCCCACCCACCTGAGTCAGCAGACCTATTAGCCGAAGCGTGACTAGTTATTTTGTGGTCTTAAAATGCTTCTTCCCAGTTAAGATAATAGAATTTTATAATAATAACAATAACAGCAACAATAACAACTTCTGGAGCACCCCTGGAATACCATCGGCCTTGACAAAATCGCCATCAGTCAAGTGCAAAAGACAGCTTTCCTTGGAACAGCTTCCCTCCTGCAACGATCCCTTTAACCCCATCACACAACAACATCTGCCCATCCCAGGTCCTTGGGAAGGACTCGAGAGGGGGACAGAAATGCCAAATCCAGTCTAAACATCTGGCTGACTGTGCGACCAACCCTAATAAAAACGGCGAACACATTTGTTGCCTTTTCAAAACCCTCTCAATCTGCTTTTTTTGGTCGTTTTTGGTCTGATACAATATGCATTAAGATGCATCCTCTCTGTCTTGAAATAGAAGACAGGATGTGCCTGAATGTCAATGCATGCCGTCTTTGAAAAGGAGGAATTAATGCAATTCAAACAACTTTCAAATGGGGTTACGTTATCATATTGGACCAGAAAAATTACTCTGGTGTAGGGTTCAGGTCTCACCTTGGATCAAGCAAGACTTTCTTTCACAGCAGGGCAATGATAAGAAGCGCTTGGCCTGGACTGGGAGGCTGGTAAGACGATTTTGCCGAGATGCTAGATGGCGCTAAACAGCCGCGTGGCACGCAGTGACCAGAAGTCGTGTGCTTATTTGACTCCCTGCATAGCACTCCCTTCTCCCACTTGCCCCACAACGCCACCTCTGTGTGCCAGGCTGAACTGGGACCTTTCAAATCGCCTGAGAGCTTCCATGGCTGGAAGATGGATCACTCCAGCCTGAGTCCAAAACCTTCACTGGCTCCCAGTGAAAGACTAGGCGCTGAGCATCAGCCAATATGGGTATTTAGTATTTTGCACTGCACCTTAAAAGTACTCCACATGCTGAAAAGTCGAAATCTAAAAATGCAGCAAATATTAAATCCAGTATATTTGGAAGCAAAGACTCAGAGAAACAGGTATGTTTTTGAAAAGATGCAAAACAGAGGCTAGGTGTGATCATAGAAAATGCTTATTTTTCAAGACATCACCATATGATCTGCATAGGCTTTCATCAATGAAGTCTCACCAAATTCTCTCAAGAACTGCAGTGACATTCAGATCACCTGGACCCAAGTTTTCAATATTGTTTTCATCATAACAAGATTTCAAAGGTGGTCTAATTATAAGTTAGTGCAGGTGTAAGGTGTGCATTGCTTGGTTTTCAATCAGCATTTGGGACACTGCAGTCTCTCTAAGTGCGAAGAGAGGACTCTTTGGAAAAGACCCTGATGCTGGGAAAGATTGAAGGCAAAAGGAAAAGAGGACAGCAGAGGATGAGATGGGTAGATAGCATCAACGCAGCAATGAGGATGA